CCCCTGCCCCAGGTTTGCACGGAGCATCACACACTGCGGGATTGGGTGGCCGCGCAGCCGCGCTCATCCCAGGAGCGGCGCGCTAGCGCGTCGCTCCGCTCTTGCTGCCGTCTGCCGGCCCCGAGCCAAGCTCCTGACTCGCTTGCCCTCGCCCTGCAAGCGGTGCGCTCGCTCCTCATCACCAACGCTTCAATTGTGATGATGAGGGTGGCCGTCATCACACCCCTTGTGTCCAATGCCCAATCCAGTCTCAATGCACCCCCCACTCTCAAACGCCAAGCAGCTGATTGCTGACAGCCCCAAGCCGGAAGCCGCCGTGAAGCTGTACCGCCAGATGATGCGCGACATCGAGGGCGGCGGCGGCGAGCAGGGCGAGCTGGAGCAGGTGTGGGGGGGGGGGTGGGGAAGGGGGTGGAGGGACCGTTGCCTTGGTGGGCACTAGTGACCGTGGACACCCCCATGGGCTGGGTGCTGCCGTGGCACCTTGATGTTGCGTGCCTCGTGTCAGGGACGGCCAGGCCAGCCGCGTGCCCTGCTGTAGCTGCCGTCCCGCTGCCATCCTCCGCCATTCAGCGCCGTGTGCTGCTCTCTCTCTCTCTCTCTCTCTTTCTCTCTCTCTCTCTTTTTCTCTATCTTACACACACGCACACGCGCGCGCGCTCTCTTGCACACACACACACACTCACACACACGCGCACGCACGCACGCACGCAACCCCGTCCCGCATCCCCCCCCCCCAAAAGGCGTGCTACGCGCTGGGCTACAACCTGGCCATTGAGTACCTGGCTGACTACGAGAAGACCTGGATGCTGGACTCCTTCAGGGACCTCAACGCCCGCGTCATCAACCGCAACATTGACTGGATCTTCCTTGAGGTGGGGGCGGGATTGGGGGCGCGTGCGTGTGTGTGTGTGTGGGTGCGTGTGTGTGTGTGTGTGTGCATGTGTGCGTTGATCAGTGCACCAATGTGCTTGCGCGGACGTAGCAGTTTTCTTGCAGTTCCTCGGGTCAAGCTGGAAGCCTCATGTACACCGTCACCCGTGACCCCAGGCACCCGCCACTTCCCTTCCCCCCCCTCATTCGCTTGACGCCCTCGAGCTTCTGCACCTCGCAACCCTCAAGCCCCGGCCCCGTCAAGCTGCCCCCCACCCCCACCGCCGCGCCAGGTTCACGCGGAGGGCGAGGCCGAGCACGCCGCCATCGGCCACAACGCCGTCCTCAACCTTGTGCCCGCGTCCGCCGCGCCCCTGCTGCGCCGCGCCATGGCCGACCACGACCGCGACTTTGCCGCCTTCTACAACCGCGCCGCCGACATGCTGGAGCAGCAGGCGTGACGGGCGGCGCCTCGGCACGGGTGACACGGCGTCACCCGTCACGGCCACAGCCCGGTGTCGCCGGCGGGCCTCCCGCATGGGCGTGCATGGTGGCGGCTGCCTAGCCTTCCCGGTTGAGTGCGTCTGTTAAGGCCTAACGTGCCGGGTTGCTTGCAATTTGCAGGCGCAGGGAAGGGGTCCCAGAGGGGCCTAGCTCACGCTCGCGGCTGCCAAGGTTCAGGTCGGCCGGCCGCGCATGGGTTTGGGCCAGGGCGCCCCCGCTCAAGTTGGGGTGTTCCGGAGCAGCCGCACCCGCGGTCATTTCCACGGAGGCGTTGCTTCGGCAAGACCAAGTTTCTGTGCACTCCCACAATTGCCATGTAACATAAGCTGACTGACGTTGATATGGGGCAGGAAAACACAGGGTCGGGCGTGACATGGCAACAGGCGCAGCACCAAGTGTGCGTGCATACACACATGCTGTGAAGGGCGTGTCCTGTCCTGGCCAGCGCCACCTCAGCACCCGGCCACATCTTGCGGGACTGCGAGCCCCACAGAAAGCTGGGGTGGTCATACTTGCAGCCTGGCCAAGCCATTACAATCGATGAGCGTAGTTCTATGTCGGCACAGACTTTACCAATACTATTCAGGGCAGCTCTTTGTCGACGCAGCAAGGAATGGCCGGGCCGTTGCTTCAGGCAGTGGTCAGAGACAGCACAACAGGCTTGCAGCGGGACCAGTGACGTGACACAGTGGGTTGCCCTCTGGTGGCCATCTACAATCCGTTGTGCCGCTACCAGGAGACGCATATTGCAGTGCAAAGACGGTAACACCACAGCCACACGCAGCTGCGCTGCGCCCTCTAGCAGCCCGGCACTGCTTTTGCACCAGCACAGGAACATATGGGGGCCTCCCCTGACGATGTCCACCCTGATCGTCACTTGAACACATGTGCATCTTGTCGTCCAATGTTGATGAGAGTTTAAATCCATTGTGAGCACATACAAGATTCGTATACGTGCAGGTCTGCAAATGAATCGATGCATGTCATCACGCAACCGGCATGGCCCGCATCTCTATCGGGGTCACCAGCGGCCGCAGCCCCACGCCACCGCCCACCAGCCCCGCCGGCGCCCCAATGCCGCCGGCCGGGCGCCCGCCCGCCGCGGCCGCGAGCGCCGCCGCGCCCTCAGGCGGGGACAGGGCGGCTGGGTCAAGGGCGGCCTGGAGGTACAAGGCCGCCGACCTCTGGAAGTTGAGGGGGCAGCGGGTTTTGAGTCCAGGCGGTGTTAGATTGAGGGCAAGAGATCGGCCCAATGGAAAGTCGAGCGGCTCAGCACGGCGTACAGCAGTGCCCCGGGGTGAGGGAGGAACAAGCGAGGGAGTGTGTAAGGGATGGTCGCTCACACCTTGTCCCCACTACAACCCAGAAAGACGGCTGGTGCGAAGCTGGCTGTTTGATGCAACCTGTATGCAACGAGGCGGCTGCGTACAATCGTAGCCCTCCCCTAGGGGAAGGCACCCACCCCGCCATCGCACCTGCGCGCCCTCCGACACCAGAGCGCGTGCCACTGCCAGGCGCGCGGCGTTGGTGGCCTGCACGGCGCAGCGCAAAGCGCCAACAAGACATGGCGCAGGGTGAAATAGAGGGGAGCAGCGCTGCATGCGGGTGGCTTTGCTAGCCCTGATGCGCTGCGCCGTCAAGCATCTGGGGAGGGGGCGGGCAGAACCAGCTGCTGCAAGGCCGTGGACCAACCGTGTGGACCACGTTTTGGGCCAGGGGCACGCCCATCTGCGCGGCCGCGGCCGCCTCCGGGCCATACCTATCACAAGGGCAGGGGGGAGTGGGCGGAGGGTGAAGGGCCGAACCAGCTGGGCGCCGTGATGCAGGGGGGGTACTTGGGAACAGGGTGCACGGGAGGGGCCCCAGCCCACCCATATGGCACGGAGTACGAGAGTGCATGTGGTGCGAAGGGGTATGCCGGTTGCAGGGGCAGGCGGGTGCCAGGGACAGGCGCGCCCGAGGTGCAAGGCGGTTGTGGGGCAGCAGGGGCCGCCAGAGGGCTCACTTGTAGCCAATGTATTGGGCGCTGGCCTCGGCGCTGTGCGCCAGCACCTGCGGCAGTGGGGCGCAAAAGGATGAGGAGAGCAGCCGTCGGCTCTGTGCGGTTTGACACGGGCCAGACCTTGCAGATTGGGGCGAGAGGGACGCGCGCGTGCGGCGTGTTTTTGGCTGTCAAGGCCAGACACCCGCTCCAACAGGCACCTGCAATACACATGGCTGGGCGGGCCCTCAGCGCGCACACCTGCTTGGCAGCTTCCTCCAAGGCGTCGTAGATCTGAACGTAGGCCAGCAGCCCCGCAGCCCCCACCGTCTTGAGCGCCGACTGCCCGCCCTCGTCGCCGCCGCCCCGCGCCTCGCCGTCGCCGGCCTCCCCGCGCGCTCCGGCTGCCGAGTGCCGGCCGTGGCGCCGGCGGCCGCCGCTGCCCGCGCTGTGCCCCTCGTGGCGGCGCTGCTCGCGGTTTTCCCGGCTGACTGCGGCGATGTGCTGCGCAAGGGCGTAGGACGCCTCGCCGACCGCCGACGCGATGTGGCCGGTCACGCACGCGGCGCCGCTCGCGACGGCAGCCGCGACCTGGAGCCTGCACAGTAGCACGCGGGTTGGGCACCCGCGATGCCTGGGAGTCCGGCGCAGGGATGCTGTTCGCAATCACTCTCCTCTGCGAAAACAACTGTTTTGGTGTCCCAGGCCTCGTTCCAGCTCTCTTCCCCTTCAAGACACACATGCACACTTCACTCAGTATCCATGTCAGCTCCCCGCCCACCACCATCGCCGCGCTCACCCCTGTTGCATGTGCGGCGAGACACGCGTCGGCGGCTCCGCCCTGTCTGCTGCTGCCATACGGGCCTCCGCGTACCGCGCAACGGCGGCCGACGCCGAGCCCGACGCAACCCGCACCAGGCCCGCCAGCACGCAGCCCCCCAGCAGGATGCCGCTGGCCACCCGCTCGGCCGCACTCGGGCGCTGCTGCTCCTGCTGCCGCTCCTGCTCCTGTTGCTGCTCCTGCTGCTGCTGCTCCTGCTCCTGCTGAGGATCTTGTTGTTCTTGCTGCCACTCACGGCCCCTGAGTCCCTCCAGCTGCTGGGGCCCCGCCATGCCGGAGCCCGCGGCAGCGCCACCCAGCGCTCCCCGCGCCGGTGCCACCTCCACCACCTCACGCGCATCCTCCTCCTCCACGCCGCTCATCACATCATCCTCGTCGTCCCCATCATCATGCCCCTGCTCCCTGCCGCCACACACACCCCCTGCCTCGCCGCCGCCAGCCGCTCCCGCCCCCCTGCCCGCAGCTGCCGTGTTTGCTGCTCCACCACCAATCCTCGCAGCTGTATGAAATGCCCCGGCGTTTGTTGCCTCGTGCGCAGCAGCGTCTACCTGGCGCACGGTGCTGAAAGCACACCTGGCAGCCAGCACCCGCTCCAGCGCCTGCAGCGCCGCGGCAGGCGCGTCTGCGGGGTGTGCGCGTGCGCACATCAATGACGGGTTTTGTGAGGCCAAAGGCGGGAACATTGCGCTCGCGACGGCGCGCCAAGCTGCCGGCGAGTCGAGCCCCGCCGAGGGCCGGCTCCCAGCTGCGACAGCGCTGCCAGCTGCCAGCTGCCGAACACGGAGACGCACCCGGTGGCAGGATAAGGCAGAGGTACGTGTGTCTGGTGCCTTCGAGACCGAATGAGTAGATGGTGGGCGCCGCCTTCAGGGCTGGCAGGTGGGGGGCCAAGGGCCACGCGATGTCGCCCACCTGTGGGCGCACCCCAGGGTTGGGTGCCCAGCGCGCCGGCGTTGCTTGTATGCTACGTGCGCGTGAGTGGAGGGCGCGGCGCCGCCGTCACGTGCGCGCTGATTTGATAGCAATTGTGACGGCTGCCCCAGCGGCAGCGCATTCGCGTTGCGCGTGCGCGCACCCTGGCGTTCATTGCGCCATCCGCTTCTGCGACGAGCACAAGGTCGCCGCTGGACAGCAGGCGCTGCACGCCGCCGTCCACCTGCCGCGACGGAAGCAAGAGCGCCAGCAATCAGGGCAGCATGGGCGCTGGCAAGCTTCAGGGCGGGGCTGACACATGCAGCGACGGCGAGAGCGTTGCGGCGATGGGCGCGTCCATGCATTGGCCATGCACCTGATGGACCTGCGCCTGCTTGATCACCACAAATGCTGGGTTAGCCGCCATGTGTGCTGCACGAGGAGCTGCTCTGGTTCCTGGTCACCGTTGTTGGACAACGACGAGATCCACACACTGGGATCGCCTCAAAGCTCTCATACAGTTTGTAAGTGGCTACTAATTTGTAGTGGCTGTGATTTTTCGGAACTCGCGGTATACGGTGCACAGTAATACCGCACTGCCGGTAGCAGAGAGCTCGACGGGCGGGCTGAAATCAATCGGTTTGCACACCCAACGAACACCCCCAGTTCCTGAGATGGTCGACATCAATCAGAACAGCGGGTGTGATGACACAGTTCATCAACTTTGTTCGGAGCGTTCAAAATCCCGCCAGTTGAAGACAAAGTCTTCTTCGTGGTTGACGGGCGCTAGGACTTTGCCAGCGTTGATTCAAAAGCTTGAACTTTGCAATAGTTTACTCTTACGGCTGAGGACGCCGCTAAGGACTTTGGGAACCCGCCAATACGAGGGGACAAACAGACCGTTTTTGCCTTCCTAGAAATCAAAGGTGGGCTTCGTGCGTGTTTCAAGCCCGGCCGCGGGCTCGCTGGGGCAGCAGCCTCTGCATCAAGCGCTGAGCGCAAGATCCACGGACGCGTCCGCACCCGCGCGCAGGTCGCTTTGGTTACCGTCGCCGCAGCTCTGATGGGCTGCTTCCTGTTCAGGTGCCGCGAGCCTACAAAAGAGGCAGCGCTTGCTGCAAATCCCCATATTGCGGGCACAGTGTCGTGCAGGCGGTTGTCGCTCGACACTGTCACGGTTTCTGCAGCGCCGCCGCGGTACCTCAAACGCAGCAGCACCACGGGCCATGGGGGTGGCGCGGCAGTCAGCCTCACCGCCGTATCCTCGGGCGGCATTTCTGCGGGGCGCGCAGCGAGCGCGCCCGTGAGTGACGGCAGCGGGTGTGCCGTTGCTCCTACAGAGTGCACGTACATCGAGGTCAACCCTCTGCGCCGCGTGTCGATGCCGATGGCCGGCCAGGAGGTGCGGCCCGCCAACCACCTGCGGCGCGGAAGCATGCCGTGCGCCATATTGCCGCTCAAACCACCAGCCGTGGCGCGTGGCTGACGAGCTTGGGTCGCGCCCGGCCGCGTTGTGCACGGCTGCTGGGGCCAGCACACTGGCCCCCCAACCGCTGTGACGAGGTGCCTGCATCCAGTTTTCTGAGAATTTCAAGGCATGCAATGTCTTTCTTTGTGCAATTGGGATGTTATTCGGTCTTTGCCGCACAGCCACGTGATGTGCCGAGCCATTCGCCAGACATTTTCTACCCGCTCCTCGCCGTCGCTGCACTGTCCACGGTGTGCTGTTGCCCGCTTGCCTTCTCGCCTACATCCGTTGTTCCCCAACCCACAAATCCAATACGACGCCAGCAGCACAGCGTGCTACGGCGCGCTTGTCACACGCTCCCGATGAGCGCTCAAACCACCCACAAATGCACCCACAAGGTTGTTGCCACGACATCATGGCTAGCATGACATGAGAGTGTCAGATCAACATGACCTGCAACAGAATGTCTGCCAGTGCCTGGGCCGGCTGCCCCTCGCGTGGCTCGGGTCGCTGCAAAGCATCCCGTATCGGCTTCTTGGGTGGTGCGTGAGGCTACACAAACCCCACCCCTTGGCATGCCTGATATCAAACCACATACGCGAATTTTCCTTGTGTTGTTATGGTTGTAACGTCCCTGCAGTAAAGCAGCTGATGTTGGGTTATTGAGCCCAGCCCCACAGCACTACAGGTGTTGATAATGGTTGTAGATATGTTTGAGGGCTCGTTCAAGCAACCAGCCCACCCTGCAGGCAAACATATACGCTGTGGCACATGTATGCAATCAAGTGAACAACCGGACTGCACACTTAAATACTGGGCATCAGGAAGCCAGCAGATCCCACAGAGCAGACCAAGGTAGGCTAGTACAAACCCTGCGGTATCAAGTGCAGCCATAGCGCACTGCAAACGCGCACCCCTGAAGCGCCATTTTTGAATGCTGGAGTGCTGCGGATGTGGGACTGGGGCTACGAACCCAAATTGTGGTGCTTGCGTCCAGCACGGCGGCCAGTGGGCGGTGACTGAGTGACGACTGACGAGCACGCGCCGAGAGGGGGCAGGGGCAACATGTGTGCAGGGCTGTCATATACGTTACATTTTTGATCGCATCATTCTTGCCCTTTGGTCCTAAATAGCTGTGCAAAGCAGCAGCAGATCAGCAGGATGCTTGCCAGGCAGCTCGGGAACGGGAGGTAGGGGCCTGAACGCATGCGCAAACCAACCAGTGTGATGAATTTGAGCTCACTCTATGCCAATGAGCGCAGTGTGAGGGCCCAGGGCCTCGTGAGGCAGACAGCAGTGGTGGCTCCGCTGAGGCCGTCGCAGGTGAGAGGAGAGGTTGGCCGTATGTGTATGCAGTCATCATTTGCAAATTAATACATCGTTCAGAACTGACAGCACCCTCGGCCGCCGGATACAGGCTCCTTTCTCGTTCCGGGCAGCCAGTATTGTGGTGCGCAACACGGTCTCCTCGAATGATTTCAAGACTGGCATGACGGTTGAGATTGATGGTGTGCCGTTCAAGGTCATCGGTGAGCGGCGCCTCGCGGCGCCGTCCGCTGCGGTGTGTTGCGCACCCGGCGTTCATGCCAAAGTGCATCGTCGTTGGCGTGCTGGCATTGCCAACGAAGCGCAGCAGCTGGCCCTGCATCAGCTTCGGGAGCGCGGCACATCAACGTGCACCAGACATGCGCTAATGTGCGGGGTGCGCGGATGAGCCGCCAGGGCCCAGCACCGGTGCCCCTTGCACCCACTGCGGCCCGGCCCCTGCTATCGCTTGATCCTGTCTCGCCCCCCCCTTACACCCAGAGTTCCTCCACGTGAAGCCGGGCAAGGGCGCCGCGTTTGTGCGCTCCAAGCTCAAGAACCTGCTGACCGGGAACAACAACGAGCGCACGTTCAGGGCGGGGGAGCAGCTCAACCTGGCGGCGGTGGAGCGGCGGGAGGGGCAGTTTACGTACGCTGAGGGCGAGACCGTGAGCGACCCAGGGTGGGGAGGCGGGCGGGCGCAGGCGGCGCCGGTCCTGGCGCCACCGGGCAGAATGGGGGCGCTTCAGGCAGCCGGGGCTGGTCGGCGCCAGCTTGGACTGCTGCAGCGAGGTCGTGACGCTGGATTTGCTGCATGGCGCCGCAGGCCTGTCCTCACTTTGCGCGCTCGTGTCCTTGCCAACTGGGCGCTGGAGCAGCCGGTGTTTTGGGCGGCTCGCAGCGGTCCCTTCTGCCTCTCAAAAGGGGTCATTTCGCGAAGCTCCGGATGTGCTGCACAGCGTAGAAGCTGATTGCCCAGCCTCCTGCGGCGACCTTGCGCGACCAATGCACAAGCACCCACCCAACGATCCCCTCCTCTGCCACCCTCCAACCACACACCACACCCACACATGCTGCCCCCCCCTTAGTACGTGTTCATGGACGTTGAGTCGTACGAGGAGACGCGGCTGCCCAAGGACGACTGGGCGCAGTTCCTGAAGGAGGGCACCACCTGCAGCCTGCTGTTCTTCAACGGCAAGGTGCGCGCGCTGTGGGCGTGTGTGTGTGTATTGTTTTGTACCCCACCCCCCCACACACACACACGAATGTCCAACGGCCAGGTGCTCCCACTGCTCCCACCGCGCGTGTGTGTGCGCCATGTGCCGTACTCCCCCCCTCACACACACACACACACACACACAAACACACAACACACGCACACACGCGCACGCACACACACACACACACAAACACAAACACAAACACATACCGTACACCCATCCACACACGCGCTCACGCACACACACACACACACACACACACACACATACACACACACACACACACTCGACACATATGCACGCACATGCACGCGCATATGCACACACACTCTTGCACACACACACGCGCACCTCCCCCTCTACACACACACTCTCTCTGTGACTCGCCCACCCTACTGTTGCGCACCACCACCCCCGCTCTCTCCCAGGTCATCAGCGTCGAGCCGCCGGCCTTCATGGACCTGCTGGTCACAGACGCGCCCCCGGGCGTCAAGGGCAACACCGCATCAGGTGGTGAGGCACCGGGGGCAGAGGGCCTCGCGCGCCAGGCGCCGCCCGCAGCTCGACGGGGGCCCTGGTTGTCAAAGGCGGCAGGCTCCGGTCGCTGCGTGCCAGGCCGCTAAGCTCTGTAGCCCGCGCGGGCTGGGGGCCGGTTCGCAGCCTGCCGCTCGTCCAGCTCCGACTGGTTGTAAGGAGGGCGGCGGCAACGGGTCCAGGCCCCAGCTTCACGCGATGCCACAGGCCCGTTCCCCCCGCTCCTGAGTGCCGGTCGCTTCCTGAGCCCCTGCTCCCCTCGCCCGCGCCTGCCCAGGCGGCACCAAGCCGGCGACGCTGGAGACCGGGGCCGTCATCAGCGTGCCGCTGTTCATCGAGTCTGGGGAGGTAGGGACCCCGTGGCACACCTCTCGGGCCTGGGTCGGGCTGGAGGGGGGGGGGGAGCGCATGGGAGGGCCCTGGCGTTAATTAGAGGGAGGCCTGGACGGCCGCGCCCGCGGCGTGGCCACGGCCGCGGCGTGGCGGCGGCGGCGGCCCCGAGCAGCCGCTGCAGCCGCATCAGTCGCTGCATGCAAACTCTGGCGCCTGAAGCTGGCTTTGGCAGGGGCGAGGCCTGGAACGCACGGGCGGTTGCACATGCACACACACGGTCACGCTGCTGCTCCGCCTCTCGATGCTCCTCTCCTTGTTTTGCTCTCCAGATCATCAAGGTGGACACCCGGACAGGCGTCTACCTCTCGCGCTCCAAGGAGTGATCTAATCTGTCGCCCCAAAGCCAATCGTGCTCGTCATCTGCCCTTGGAAGGGTCGGGTGGTATGGACCAATTTTTCACCCAGCCTGCCCCGGCCGGCCTCACGGGCGGCGGAATGGGGCTGACGCCGGCCGGGCCTCACGTGCGGCGAGCGCATTTGCTGCCGCGCCGTGTTGCATTGTTTCTTGCATGCTAGCTTTCTCTTTCATCTTGAATGTAATTAACCCCATCACAGCTGAATGGCAGGCAGGCTGCTGCAATTGAGCGCAGGGGTGCAACGATTGCCTTGGATTGAGACAGTAATCTGAGGCTATGATGGGCTGAGGCTCCAAGATCTTCAGCCTTGTGCTTAATCGGGGGCTGCCGCGGGGGCACAATCACACAGCCAGCAGCGCCGACCGGCCGACCCGGCAACGACGACCCACGCAGGGCACTCTCGGGCCGATGATGTGCGCTGCACGACGGCACTAGGCACGGCTGGCGGCGCTTGATCTGACTCCCCGCACGCTGGCCTGGGCTATGGTCGCTGCACCACCCAAGAGTGCCGATGGTCTCATGAACCTGCTCGCTTACCGCCGGCCGGCGTCCCGCACCCCCTTCCCCAAACGGCCATCAAATCTCTATTTCAGCTGTAGACCGTATGTCTGCAAAGTGTAAGAGGTTACACCGCCCGCTGTCGGGGCACACCCACCGCACCGCGGGACTGAGATGAGGTCTATGGCCAACACCCCGCCGTTCCCAGATGGAGAGCGGCAGGCCCAAGCGCGCACGTGACAAAAAGGCCCCCGCCCAGAGGGGCCTGGCGCGAGCCAGGGCTGGTTCACAGGGGAGGTGGGGGCGCGCAGGTTCAAGCAGAGGGGGGTTTTACGGGGAGGTGCCCTATCCATTTGGCTGTGCGCTCGTGGTTCTCATCACCATTCCCCTCCAACAAGAACAAAGGCAAAAGAGAGATGAGCGCAAGGCAGCGTCGCCCGTAACTGGCCTGTGCCCCGGCGTGTTGCAGCGGGGGCGTCGCAGTCGGGCAAGAGGACTGAGGCTCGGCGCGGGAAGCAGAGATAAGAAGGCCAGGGGACGCTACGGTCTAGCTACCTATCTGGGTTACAGGTCTGGAGGGAGAAGGCGGGGTCTTTCAAGGATGGGAGCTGACACAGGGGACCACGTGGCCGAGGGGACCCGCTCAGCACCCCCACAGCGGGCGGGGGTGGTGGCGGCGCGCCGCAATCAGCCAGCGGGCGCCGCGGCGTGCGGCGCGAGCGGGATGGCGCGCGTGCGCTTGTGCGGCAGAGGCAGGGGAGGCATGGAGGCGCCGCGGGTGCGTGCCTTATGAGAGCTGCGCGCTACGCCGCAGGAGCGGTGGGCGCCGTGCTGCCGCATCACATTGTCTTGGTCCGGCCCAGCCAGCCGCGCAGGCCCGTGCCCATGGATGAGAAGCGCTCCGCCAGCGTGGACATGGCCTTGTCACTCTCCTCATCATATATCAGCTTCTCGTGCCTGTGATAATGGGTTTCCCAAAAATGGGATGATGGCAGGACGATGGTGTCGGCACATACGTGATCGCGGCAGTTCAGGTTGGTGCAGGCTGGTGTGGGTACCAACGGCAGCAGGTTGGTGCATAACATGGCAGGCGCAAGGTCGGGTTGACGTATGCGCTACAGCCAGCCCAGCCAGCTCAGATGACAAGGGGGCTCCTGATGCCTGTTGGTACGACATTGCAAGAGCGGGTGTGCCGCTGCTCACCAGACCAGCATGGAGAAGAGGTACTGGTCGTTCTGCAGGGGAAAGGACGCGCGGGATGGGGCGTTTAACACGCGGCGGAGCATCAGATCCTGTGTCACGCCGCGTCCTTCAGACTGGGCTAAGCGGGCCACTTCCGCGAGCCGCTGCCGAGAGCTATGACGGCCACAGCCACCACGGAACCCAAAGCCATACCCACCCTCGACTTGCCAGCGCCCCACTCCTGCAGGGCATCCACCTCTCAAACCCAGACCTCTTCGTACGGCCCTCCCCCCAACCCACACGCGCACACACACACACACACACAC